AGTTACAGTGTCCAGTTCTGGGGTAATAGTTACAAGTATAATTGTGAAAAGGCCTTCATAATACAAAAACGGGCAATTAGAACTATGGTCCGAATGCCGCAGTGGGAGTCATGTAGAGAGCATTTCAAAGAACTATCCATACTAACAGTTCCTTGTTTATACATACTGACCGTACTAAGCCAACTGTCAAAATACATTACTGATTTTGAAACTCAAGATGAAAGGTTAATCAGAGAAAGTACTCGAAGAAAGAACTTGAGAAACAATTTTATACCCACATTAAATATTGCAAAGCATTGTGCGCGTTATCAAAGTGTGAAACTATTTAATTGCCTACCTGCAGAAATAAAAATGGAAATCTATAAGACACACATATTTAAAAAAAGAGTTAAGGCCTTCTTATTGGAAAAATGTTATTATTCTGTAAATGAATTTACTGGCTCATCTTGTAACTGACATTAAAATCCTAGGGACATGTTAGGGATATAATTATTGTGTGATCTCTTGTTTCCTTTGACATGACAATTCTAACTGACTTTGTTTGACATTATTATTTTTGACATCGAGTGATTCATTTTGTTAATATGACTGGTTGGAGTTGTGAATGTTATATGTATATTTGAAATGTTTTTAACTTATTTTAGATGGTTTAATGTGAATTGTTTTTAGAGATTATATGTTACTTTTCTTTTCTCACTATTATGAAGTATTATATTCAGACACAATTGTAATAAATTGTTAATGAATTAAATAAATAAATAAATACACAAAGAGCCACTGACAAAATGGGCGGCGCAAAACATTTTGTAATAAGTAATAAGTTTAAGTAATAAGTGCGGGAAATTTGAAAAGATAGACCTTATTTGGAACCGGCCCTTTTTAGGAGCGCTTACCTTATTAATATTTCAATCAGCTGTTTTCTTCATTTATAATGTACTATAATTGTTTGAGAAAAATTGCTTTGATGTTCGTGTATACCTAAGTCGTAACGAAAATAATAGTCATGAAACAATCCTGTATTTCTTTTGAAGGAATCTGAATAAAGTTTAACATAATTTAGTTAATACTCAATAAATTTTGTTAATACTCCATATTTAGTATCTGATGAGCTAAAACAACAAATCTTGTTGAACCTCTAACTCTCGCCATAAACTCTATGTACAATTACATTTGTAGTTAGAATCTATAGAGAGCGTGTTCTTCAACTACAATGTTAAATCTATTCTTGGAATAATATGTAGTCCTCTCCACGTGAGTCCACTTGCACTTGGTCAGTTAAGTATCTTAAAGACTCAGTCATTAAGTTAAAGTTACTGATTTGATACTACAAACAGATAATTTAAACAGCAATTTAACTCATTAGTGCTCGTATATGTTATTCTGGCAGATGGCTGGATATACAAGAAACCAGCATAACACCTTTACAATGTTACATGTTGTGCCGATCTCAAACAAAATTGAAAATAAATAATAAAAATGATCATATTGATATAAGAAGGACATCATTTTTTCATGAAAGAGGTTCAAACTAGCAGACGGGTCACCTGGTGGAAAGTAGTAAGCAATGTGAACGCCTGCAGCTCAGGAGTCACAAGCGCGTTGCCAGCCTTAATTCGCACGCGTTGTCTTAATTCTACTTTCTCGAGAGGCTTTTAATTCAACTGCTTTGCTGCTGTCTTTATGAGGATCTTTACCAATTGTGAACCGATTTCCATCACCTTTTTTTAAATAATTGCTGATACACTGATCATTAACCCAATTTAATAAATTTCAAATTTAAAGAAATTATTTCATTACTAAGATTTATTAATGATTAAAACACAGCTTATTGCCTTTTATTACGATTTTACATTATCATTGAAATCGGTTACACTTTCCTTAAGTGATAGTGATCAAACAAAAGATAGACAGGTAGTACTATACTAGTCTATACTGGTAATATATGGTATACTATTACTAGGTACTATTTCATCTCTATCATGTCTTCGCCTTCTCCAGGACTTGAAGTATTTCCCTTCTTTCGTTACCTAGGGCGAATACTAAACAGACTTTCCAGCTAATCACACATGTATTTTTAAGTTAAATAAACATTTTTGTTGCTCTACAAAGTTCACTACAATTATTGGTGATCATAGTAAACTGAGATATCCTGTTTTAGCGATGTGAAAAAGTAATGGTGCAAATTAGCACTTTATTGCTTGCAAACGTTTACAGCAATAACACTTATGAATAATGATCCGAAGCTATGCCCATTGGTAGAGCAATTTAGGGTCATCAACCTCAAACGTATTATTTGAATGATGTTGAATTTCAATTTCCATGAATAATCTATATGATGAAGCATGTGTAAAATATTTAAAACGATATTAAAAAGCAAATCTTTGTGACATGTGTATTAAAATGTTTACCTTTTTAATCATGTACCGAACAAGTCAAAATATGTCATATTATTTAATCTTGAACGTCAACAATCGTGTCAAATCATCATTAAACGTGGCATTAACTAATAAAAAACTTAAACTTAGCGTATCCGTACCCGCAAATATATTTTTTAGTGATTCGGCTCATCACTCACAAACACTAGGATTCTAGAGCGAGGTACACACCATTTCACTTATAAACTGCTGCAATATAAGTAAGTACATAAAGCACTCTCAGGAACCAGGATTATTTATTAGTAATCCTTTATAAGGATTTCTGAGGCTAACAAGCATGCTTACATAAATATTTCCTTTCATTTTATAACACAGTTTGGTAACATAGACTACTCAGCACTAGAATATCTATATCTATATTTATGTGATTTGTGCATTATTGTTTTTAGGGAAGTAGCATTTTGAATAAAAATATACTTTAAGTTCAAGTTCCAATTATTGAAAGAAATGTGTATCTATCAGTATCACCGAGATCTATCAGTATCCCCAAGTTAATATCGTCAAAACAAATTAAAACTCCTGGCAACTTTGACGACATAATTATCCTTCTAGAGGCCATCGCCAAATAACAGGTAATCCTGAATCTTTTATTTATCTACTGACTATCACTGTAGTATTAATAAGGGAGAAGGAATAATTGAAAGACTGGATAGGAGATTAATCATGAAGTATCCCCTTTTAACTTTATTTGTCTCTGATGAAGGACAAGATATTCAAGTCTTGCCAAGAAAGACATCATAATGTGATCCACAAAAGTGGAGGAGCTGGTAAATAATGTGAAAATATATAAAATGTTCAGACACCAAATGTAATCACAATTAATCAACTATATAATACAGTCTATTAAAAATACAGAAAAAGACGAAGCAGTTTCGAGTTAATTCGATCCAATTTTGCCGGTATTGCACACAGTTTTTACCGGACTTCAAAAAAGAAAGGTCTCAATTCGTTTGTATTATTCTGTGAAATGATGGAGTCGTCATTTCATTTTATTCAGGGTGTACTTCCTGTTACCCCCGAGTAAAAAAATAAGAAACGAAGAATTATAGTTCATTACTATTTATCATTAAGACTCATAGAAGTATGTAATTCTTTTTTTCAAAAGTTATCAATGATTTGCCATTTGTACCAGACACGGCATGTTCTATGATTCTTTAGTCGTTGGTTCGCAATATGTTAATGTCAGTCACAGTCAGTGTTGCCAACCTAGTAGATTTACCAATAAAACTGGTGGTTTCGACCGGTGGTTGTAGATTTTTTTAGTGGTTAGTAGTAATACTAAAATTGAAGAGGACTAAGAAAATGCTGTATAAATTTGAACTGCGAGGACTGTTTATGTACGCAAACCTCAAGAATGATTTGATAGGAAAGGAACCACTTTTGTCCAATCCCCATGATTGGACAAAAGTGCTTAGGAAGAAAAGGTTTATTAATTTTAGGCAATGGGATGACGTAGGCTTTGTGCAACAGATATGAAAAGTTTTCGGAGTCGAGAAAGAAGTCAAAAATGTGGGCTAAAACTTCGAAGACGAAATCCAGGATGGTAACTATTATCCTAAGGCTTTCAAGTTATTACGTGACAACGTGGGAGAGCCATGCTTCTGCACGAATGGACCGACTCGACCGGAGTGATACCACGGCCTCACAGAAAACCGGTGTTAAGCAATTCTTTCATTGCCTTTCACTGAGTGAGTGAGGTCACCGGAGTCGAAATCCCCCCTCCTGTGGACTCGAGTGGGAGGGACTCCAAGGGCGGCAACGCACCTGTGACTTTTGAGTTGCAGGTGTCATTGGGTGGCGGTAGTTGCTTATCGTCAGGTGACCCATCTGCTCGTTAGTCCCCTTATGGCATAAAAAAAGGCATAGGAGAAAATTCAAAAGTTGACAATATTCTGTCTGGGTAGACTAGCGATATAATTCAAAGTCTACTAGCGATATTATTCGACTCTATGTTTAATTTAGTGGGATGGGGATGCACATTTGAAGAATTAGCGACCTTTGATATTACTCTCTTAAAACCGATTTAATGCCGATGTTGAGTTAAGAGACTATAAGTATAAGCAGAGGAACAGAATGAAGTTAAATCTTTTATCTGCTATATTAAGAATACGCTGTGGTTTCAAGCTGGAAGAAGAACGCTGCAACAAATATGAAATTCCAATAAACGTTGTAAAACAAATCGGTACCTAATAATCGTATTAATCTGGAACCGACGATGATGGTGCTGATAAAAACGATTAGTATCAGTATTAAATTTTGATAATATTAAGAAAACTAGTAATTAATTTACTAATGGTTTTCTTTCGTAATTACTAAAATTAGTGGAAAATTTGATGCCTATTACAGTAGGGTCGTTTTTCGTTAGTGGTTTTCTGGTGGTTTTAGATGTTGAATCTGGTGGAGAGTTCCTTTTCCTGTTGGCAGCACTGGTCACAGTCAGTCAGAGTTGTCACTTATGTCAGTGTCGCATTCTATTTCAGTGGCAAATCGTTGAGGTTATACAAATACAAACACAATAAACGTCAACCGGTAGTACATAAGGATATTGTTTTTATTTAATAGAAAATGTCTAGTAAACCTAATTCAAAGCGTACCATATATGTAGGTGGACTAGCAGAAGAGGTTGATGAGAAAGTGTTAAATGCGGCTTTCGTTCCGTTCGGCGATTTAGTTGATGTTCAAATACCATTAGATTATGAAACTGAAAAGCATAGAGGTTTTGCGTTTATTGAATTTGAAAACGCTGAAGATGCTGCTGCGGCTATTGATAACATGGTGAGTAGGATCCATGTTTTTTACTTTGATAAAAACTTTTTGCAACCTTATTAAACCTGAAAACTTATGAGATGTAAAATTTTATTACTATGGTTACATTATGGTAATGAATTTAATTTTCACATTTTCACATTCATTATAAGTTTGGGATATATACAATTAACTATTTATAATCGAGAATGCCTTGTGACAAATATTTTAATCTTAGTTTAATCAGTTACTGGCCTAAAGGATCTCTTATTATTGGAGACCTCTTTACAATAAGTTATAGTTATAGTGTAAAGTATAATTATAGTGTAAAGTATAATTAAGTGTTTATACCATAACTGTGGCTTGTAAGCCCATGTGTGGTTCCTATTCTTGTGGAATCTATCATTGTTAGTGATTAAGTCTGTTGTATAAACATTGGATACTTCTCCTTTTACACATTTTAAGGCCAAAATGACTACAACTTGCTTTGTAATGATAAGGCCGCCATTTGTAAACATTCATTAAAAGCATTCTTGTTAATAAGAAATGTTTTGATGTACAATAAAGCTTAATCTAAGTTGTGTATAGGATTGCATTAAAAACAAGAACTGGTTGTATAATTTAACTTTAACAAAAAAATCATAACTTACAGAATGATTCAGAACTCTTTGGTCGTACTATCAGAGTGAATATTGCAGCACCACAGCGTATCAAGGAAGGGTCCACTCGGCCGGTATGGTCAGAAGACTCATGGTTACAAAAACATGCAGGCGAGACATTGTCAGTTGCTAAAGATACTGATAAAGAAGTTGAAAGTACAGAGGAGAATACAGAGACTGCTAAAGTGAGTATCTGTTGAAGTTTTAACATAAAAACAAATAAGAAAGTGCCTAATATCTAAATGTAGATTAGGTTATTTGAATATACAAGTTTAGATTTAATTTGTATTAATTTTAATAATTCTTTTAAAGGGTGCTAACAGGGTAATATATTGCTAATTACCATTTCGTACATATATAACAATGTTACTACTGTGCCAAAGTACTACACGCGTAACAACTTATATAGCCTTTCTTATAACACAACACAACTGCACTTGTGACTCCTGAGTTGCAGGCGCTCATGGATACAAAAAATATTATTATTATTATCTTGAAAGTTTAAAAATGTCAAATAAGAGCTTGTGTTAAATAAAAGTTGTAAATTTTTGGACCTCGTTGACCCCCCAAAATCAGTTTTTGTCGACCCCTGGGCAACCGATTTCGACCCCAAGGGGTCGATGTCGACCACTTTGGGAATCCCTGAGTATTGTATAATATAGCTCCTTCTTATTTAAGAAAAACCACATTTCAACTTTGTAACTTTCTTATATTAGTACAGAAATAAAGAACTCATTTCTCTGATTTACAGTTACCTGCTAAACCTGCCGAGAAGCGAAACCCACAGGTATACTTTGATATCAGTGCGGGAAAGCAGTCTCTCGGTAGAGTCATAATAATGTTAAGGGCTGACATAGTACCCAAGACGGCAGAGAATTTCAGAGCACTGTGCACACATGAAAAAGGATTTGGTTACCAGGGCAGTTGTTTTCATAGGATAATACCTGATTTTGTATCCTTTATAAACTTCAACCAACATTTTGAAAAAATTTACTTAAATGTAACTTGATATTTTTTTTAAAAGTTATATTGAAGAATAAAGTTCTAAATCATCATCATCAACAGCCTATAATAGTCCACTGCTGGACATAGGTCTCTCCTTAGAAAGGAGTTTTTGGCCTACTATACCACGCTGGCCAGGCGGGTTTGTGTCAAGTTTTACTTCTCTTTGCAGTGCTGTTGTCCTGCAGAGTTTGCTCTTTAATGCTATTAATACTAATATTAATTATACTACCGCACTATACTAGTTATTATATATGTTATATTTTTATTTAAATATTAGGATCAAAATACAGACACCGATTGAGTCATTAGTTCTTTATTTCGTTTTTTTTGGTAATAATTTTAGTAGCTGGCTATTGTGCATTTCCAAAAAAAACGCTGTTTTTACAGGCATCAATTAGTTATACTTAATATGAGTGTATAGGTGATGTTGCTAAAAAAACATAATTAAAGTAAAAACTGATTAGTTCCCTTGTTAGACTGCCTCAGTGGTGCAGTGGTAGCGTATGCGACTGTTGTGCTGAGGTCTCGGGTGTTTCGGCGTTTGGGTGTTTTCTATGTAAAATATATATGTATTTACAAAAAAAAGTATTCTATTAGTCTAGATGGCGTTGTGTGTTAGATGTCTGAAAATATACCTATAATAAAAAGAAATAACTACCCTAACTCATAGTTCACAACACTTCAATCTAATTCAAAATCAAACTACGTACATGAGTGATTATCATAAATTTTTTAAATGCCAAAAAGTCCTTAACTGCATACCATTAGTAGATGTGTCAAGGAGGTGACTTCACGAATCACAACGGCACGGGCGGCAAGTCGATATACGGCCGTAAGTTTGATGATGAGAACTTCACACTGCGCCACACCGGCCCGGGCATACTCAGTATGGCCAACTCCGGCCCTAACAGTAATGGCTCGCAGTTCTTTTTATGTACAGCCAAGTAAGTACCTATTCAGGCACGCATTACACGCACACATAATACAAGCATTCGTCATTAGTGTTCATGTTCATAGAGGATATAACTACGGGTCGGTCGGGTGTTATACACAGTATACACTTCGGGGATGCTTCTTGATACCAGTGAGGAGTGAGATACCAGTCTCAGACTTAGTCACGAACGAAACGTACGGGTAACGAAAAAGAGCAGAGAATCTAAAAGTTGTAGATGCGTATATGGGAGGGATATGGCAACTGCTCGTTTCTGCACTCTTCTCTGAAAAATGGATGGGTGCTCTTTTTTTAAATTAATAATAAACAAATTGAGAAAATGTCGTTAGAAACTCGGAACACAAATTGTTCACATGGTTATGATATTGACGTGGAAGACTAACAAGATAACAAATGACATGAAGTTAAAACTAAGAAGACGATGTAAATAATTATAAATAGAAATTAAAAATTTGTTAGCTTATGTCCGCGGCTCCCTCCGCCTGCGTGTATGTCAGTTATCGCGGTAATAAAGAAATAAGAAAAACTAAATTGACTTGCAAAAAAGCCATCAAACAAAACCTCTCTACCTAAAACATTAAAAAGTGATAAATAAACTAAATTGATTATTATTTATTTAAAAATCACTACTTTTTATAAATAATTAAATCAATAGCTTTAGTTACTAATTATAACTTACCTATTCTCAATAATATTCTAAATGAACCTATATACAATATTATTTTACTTACTTCAAGCTAAAATGTATTTACAAAACTATAACGATTTACCTTAAAAAAATACTATGTGATTACTAGTTGTCTATACCTAACTGCCTACTAATTTTAATAAGATATTATTATAATGTGTATTAGGTGCCTAAAATCTTTTTGAAGTCGGTACCTCTTTTTTGAAGTCTGTTCAAAAGTAGCCTATGTTATTTGCTGATAATGTAGCTTTCTATTGGTCAAAGAATGGTTTAGACGTGAAAGTGGAACAAACAAATAAAGTCACTCTCACATTTCTCACACTCCTATAATCGTGTTCCATTTTCAACCGATTAAAAATGGGGGAGGTTCTCAATTCGACTACAGAATTATCTCAGAATTCTGTCATTCATTAAGCGAATTAGAAAATCCTTTTTTTTATTATTGGGTCCTAGACTTCGCGTTAGTACCACTCCTGAAGAAAGAAAATGAATGAATGAAGAATACTGTTTATTACAATTCTAGAACTTGGTTTTATTTTTTAAAAGCTTTTTTTTTTAGTTTGAGTAAACATGATATTATTATATTTCAGAACAGAGTGGTTGGACAACAAACACGTTGTGTTCGGTCATGTGATATCGGGCCTGGACGTGCTGAAGAAAATGGAGAAGTACGGCAGCAAAGGCGGCTCCGTCTCCACCAAAGTTACCATCAGCAATTGTGGAGAATTACAATAATATTAGATATTTTGTGTTTTATTACCCTTTTTGTAGAATAAAAAAAAAAACAACGGATTGTTTTTTTTTATGTGCTGAACGAAATCTCGCTTGTGGAATTTCCGGACTGATACGAAATCCAAACCTTCAAGAAAAGGATTTACTCCTACCTCGACGGCCGGCAACGCACATGAGACTCCTAAAAGATAGATGACCAAGGGTGTAGTCACTCTCCATGTGGAGACATATTTCCCATGTCCCAAATGTTACGAAAGCTTTGCTTGACACCGATTTTCTGTGAGGCAGTGTTATCACTGGTCGAACCGGTTCATATGTGCCAAAATAAGGCTCTTCCACGCTGAAACTTACAAAAATTTAAAAACCATATACTTTATTTTATTTATTTGGGACAAAAAACAGTTGTACATTGCAGTCTTTACAAGTAATTTAGAACTTACATATCTAAAACGTATAACCCACACTATTGTCCACGAGTTTATAGCTGGAGTAGAAAAGGTAACGGACGCACACCATACACAATCAGTGAATTATATGTTAGAATATATTTAAGATAGATAGTTAATTGCAAAATGTCAACATTGCTCAGCAAGAATTTCAGTAGCAATTCTTTTAAACTTAGAATGAGTGAGAGCGAAAATATCCAAGTTCGTAACATGTGAGTTACGTTACGTTATCAATAATCGGCGAAGAGTTTTCCGTGTAGAATAATCGAAATACGCGCACCTCCCGCCGAATAACAGTCCTGGGTACTACATAACATCGCCTGTTTGATAATTCCTTACATTTACACTTGTTGTTGCATATGCCGCCGTATAGTATTATTAACATTAATAAAGTGCGTCTATGCTCCAAGCTCATACCTAAGTAATATTAAAGTCATAACGAAAAAGCTGGTCTATTTTAGTAATGTGAAATCTCAATTCATTAGGTAATTTTCGCTATCTACTTATTGATATATATCAATAAGGAAAACTTGTATCAAACCCTGTACCAACCCGTTTGGTCAGCGTGGTATAGTAGGCCAAAACCTCCTTCCTAAGGAGAGGCTTGTTTCCAGCGGTGGACTATTGGAGGCATAATATGCATGAGCTTTGATCATTAATCTGAATAAAAAGACAGTTAAAGCTGTGAAAGCGTTGAAAATAGTATACCTATAAGTATTCTAAAAGTAAATTTAACTTTTATAGTACTCGTACACGCTCTGCTTAGTTTGAAACTAGATGGCGTGTGTCTCATGTCCGAAAATATTATTATATTAGGTAGGTATATTATATTGGTGTAAACCGAACATGTTCATGTTCCATTAGTATTACGGTTTCTAATTGAAGCAGAGATCATGATCAGAAATCTAATTCTAATACGAATCCTTACATAATTATGTGGAAACCCTCAATTTTTCCCTTTTTTGTGGTGATGGTGTTTCTGTGTGTGATGTAGCGATTACAATCAGCCTCAACTCGTTTTGATATGTTACGACTGTTTAATTTTAATATTTTCTAATGATTGAATGATTGTATACCTACCCGCATTCTAGAACATGTAGGAACCTTGATCATTAATCTGAATAGAAAGACAGTTCAAGCTGCAAATGCGTTAAAAAAATAGTGTCCAATAGTTCCTTTCTACTGCCGTTGTGTGTCAGCTGTGATATCGCTCGCACCCATGCGCTATAAAGGTCGTACATTTGTTTTAGTTGTATTGTATTGCGTCACTGCATCTAAACATATAAATGATCTAAGGCAGAAGTATTTTACTTACTCATAAACAGTCTTCTCAAGTAAAGACAACTCTTAGAAAATAAATTTTTGGTTCGCCAAAAAATAAATAAAGCGATCACAGTCACCTCAATTTCTTCCATTCCTTTCCTTTTTAGGCATCGTTTCAAAGTTTTAAATTTATTTAGTTGGTGCTTTCTTAAGAATGGTATGGCCATATATTGGCAATTTATACCAAATGTTTGGTGTTAAACCTCAGCATATCACTCTCACTCACCTCTCCCTACTCATAATAAGCCAGCCATAACGGTAATTGACGCGATAAATTACATTTATTTATGTGTGCAGAAGTTTAATAGGTTTCCATAAAATCTAGGCCGCTGTTTATTAAACTCTACCTACCATAACATAATCCTTAAATCAGAGAACCTAATAGCTTCTATTCTACTGTACAGCCTGTAGGTACTAGATGAATTCTCCATAGAGATCGCAGGACAATTGTTGTTGATCTTCAATTAAAATCTAATCTCAGAACTATTATGATGTTCGGTGAATATCGCTTAGGGATTCCAATCCGGGCTTAATTGTCTGAGGAAGTAATGTAGATTGATCAGTGTTGATTGTATAATGGTTTAGTAAATTGGTTGGTTTTAGTGCGTACCTACTTTCATTTGTACTCTAGTTGTACGTTATAATTGATTTCGAAGCGTTTGTTCTCCAGGCGTCATGACAGAGGCTTCTGTCAGCGGGCTGTATATCATTTAGGTAGGTAGTTTAAATTTTATAATTGCGTGTAGGTATTTCTATCGTCGCTATAACAAGAAATAATAACACCATGACATCAACAGCCTTTAATAGTCCACTGCTGGACAGAGAGTATGCCTCTGCTTAGAGATATTTTGGCCTACTATACCACGCTGGCCAGACGTGTTGGTGTTGGGTTTATGTGAAGTTTTCCTTCTCCTTGCACTGCTGTTGTCCCTTAGTCGGCTCTTACGACACCCACGGGATGAGTAGGGGTGAAGACACTGTATTCTTAACCCGTCACCATACGGATAAGACCAAACCAAGAAATACTAATATCTATAAATAAAATAAAATTGAAAATTAAGGTACGAAGTCACGTTTCTTGTATTGATTTTAACCGTCGGAGAACTATGGCACAAAAGGGTATGATCGACCGGCGGCCTCACAAAAAAAGTTTTCTGTCCTTGCTTTTGAGTGACTGAGTGAGTGACTTTACGAGAGCCCAAAACCTTCCCTTCTCCTATATCTAGGGAATGGGGCATCAAAGAACGGCAAAATACTTGTGTCTCTTGAGTTGTAGGTTTTCCATGGGCGACGGTAAGCCACTTACCATCAGGTGCCCCGTCTGGTCGTTGGTTACACGTGCGGCTGATGTGGTCACAACTCTTGGCATAGGTTGATATTTATCAGTGTCCTTGTCAGATTTAGCGTATAAGCTAGTCTGAATATTTGTCTTGGAGGAGTTTGGAAAACTAGAGACAAACCCTATAGGTACCGACCCGTCTGGCCAGCGTGGTATAGTAAGCCTAAACCTCCTCTCTAAGGAGAGGCCTATGTCCAGCAGTGGACTATTTAAGGCTGTTGATGATGATGATAATGAGGAGTTCGAATTTCCTATCTAGCTGGTGTTTTTAGTACCTAACGCGTAAAACGCCTGAAGTGAAAGGCCTAAGAATTTCAATAAATGTAACAGTATTTAATTCGTATATCAAAACCTTTATGATAAATAGAATATCAATAGTAGTTACAGCATAGACGAAAGAAAATCATGAATCTAAACCATAACAGTTGTTTTTTTTTACTTTATTCTACAAAAAACAAATTGTCACTCACACTTCGCCGTTTAGTATTTTTTTTCTTTTCAAGCAAAATACTTGCCTTATACCTCCTGACAATCAAATGACGGCTGTTTACATTTCTCTGAATGTTAGGTAAGCATTGAACGAACGGTTTGCTGAGTACCTACGGCTATGCGCCCCTATATTTTGTCGACTGAATTTGTTGAGTTGCCTTGTATCTGTAATGTTCTATCTATTAATTCTGATATAAAAAAGAGTGAATATTAAGGTGTCGTAGCTTTAACATATCGCAGAGTGACATTACTGAAAATGTGGAAATCAGAACCTGCTTTCCAAAAACCTAATAATTTAAAAAATCTGAAATGTAGTGGAGGTAATTTTTATCGAGACAGGCCAAACTTATTATTTAGGTATTGATTCCTGTCAGGCCTGCTCGCTCAGCCAGGTGCGAGGGTCTCTTCGGTCAAATTTCTTTTAAAAAGAACCCTAATATAATTGGGCAAAGACCAGGAAACCGACCATAGTGATAATAATTGTTGTTTTGCAGTAGAAAATAAACTTAAAAATCATATTATTTTTTAGATGTCCATAAAAATACGAAAAACCAGAACGATCGAAAATCCCTCAGTGTGGAACGCCTGCGTCTGACCGAAGATAAAGGTGGTCTGTACACCTCTATAAGAATGACTCTCTTCTGCAGTAGAGTGTTAGGGTTGCTGCCATTATCTGGATTAACCTGTCAGACTAGCGACAGGCTGAGGTGAGATTACATTATTAGGGTACACCTGGTTCCCCGGCAACTGGTACCCGAGACTGCGTGCGGTTTTTGGTCGGTTCTAGTCCGATATAACTAGCGGTGGGTGGTATCCGAGGGAATTTCCGCACAGAAAAAAAAAGGCTGAGGTGAGATTCAAAACGACAATTAGGTTCGCTCATAATTAGGTTAACCAGCTACTGATATAGGCAGTCGTAGGTTAGAGGTTATTTGTGCTGCAATTTATAAACAGTCCCGGTTTTTGTTTGCGTGCTGTGTTGTATATATTCCACCACAAATAGAGGAAAATGAATACGTGGAAATGTTTAATTTATTGGAGAAACTATGTTAAATATAAGTTTACAAAGAAAATAGAATAACTAATTCTTGAGAAGATAGTTATAAATTTTCTAATTAAACTTAAAATTAGTACCTACATAATTTACGTGCCCCATATATTTTCCCTAATTGCTTGGGAATATTAATACTTCAACGGAAAGAACTAAAAACTTACTAGAGTCATTTTATAAAGACCCATGATTTAAGATGATTATACGCAGACACATTATTTGTGCTCCACCTCTGACCACAGAATTGTAAATAGTACCAATAACATAACCTAACATTTTTTGTAATATGTGGGTAAAAGTCTAAATTTAACTGCAGAAATGTTTGCAAATTAGCACGTCAGTAGGCAAACTGACAGATACATATTTGCAACGGGACAAGATTTAGGAAATTCAGCACTCGAATGACATTTTGATGCTACGTCAGCGTGCCACAAATGGCAATAATGTCACGTCCGTTTGTTTTGATTGACGTTTCTCGTAGTGGTTAGAAGCAAACAATTTTTTTTATTATACAGCTAAATAAAAATGATTTTCCTGGATCGTTTAGTAGTTTTTTTTGAAGTTTTAGATTTTACACTTAATGGTTTTGCACAACGTTTTTTCTGCAACGTTCATGAATTGAACGCGGTCACCGTGAAGATCGATTAGATGTGAGATAACCTCGGACTTAGCCCTCTGATTATTGCAGGAAGGTACACACTGATGGCAAGATTAACGTTTTAAATCATCATCATGACGGTTTCTTTACGTTTGCCCAGTAGTGTCCTCTGTCTCTGTTTAGCTAAGTGCTAGGCTAGTGAAGATGGCATGGTTTTGATCGTAGAACAGGCGGGAGATTACAAATTTCCCCAGTCAACGACTGAGAGCTGAGCTCGACTAGAAACAGATATTTTCCATCTCTCTCGTTGCCTATATTGCAAGATTGGGGTTCTTGTTCATTCTATGCTTATAACTCTTTGGATGTGTCCAGTGCAAATTTTATACACAATTTATCTATATTTGTGGTATATTATAATGATTATATTAATTGTCTTTGCTATGAAAGTACCCACTTAAGAAATAAATTGATTTACAGGTTTAATCTGCGTTCACCGTATTCCATATACTTTGGAGTTAGTCTATTCGGACAGTTCCTTATGGCGTTTACTTCATGCTTCTATCTTGTGCAACATGGATTCTCTCTGCCGAATATCAGTAAGTGTAATAAACTTACACATTTTCAATAATATTTTTTTTTGTTTAAATAATAATAATAATATCGTTTATTTCTCACCAAAACCAAAATGCATCCAATGAAAATACGATTACACTATAACACGCAAATGTAATACATGTGTAAATATTAATATGTAGTCTTTATGTTTATAAGCAGTAACGAACCAAAACAAAATGAGCAAGCCTTAGGTATTTATAGTGGTCGCTTAGAAATGATGTAACAACTGAAACAAAGAAACGTTTATTTGGCGTATATTATTAATATTTAGCGAATATTTACATTCAAACACTAATAATTTATTATTAATAACAAAATATTAAGATATTTCCTAGTTATATTGACTAATTATCATTAATAAGATGTTTATCATTAATATTATTATTTAGCATATAACTTATTATTTGACTGCACGGATGGCGTAATGGTTTAAGCGGTCGCCACGCCGCTTCCTACTACGCCGAGTCTTGTGGGTTCAAACCCCACATGGGACGATACTTTGTGTGATCCACTTCAATTCCAGATCAATTATTGCTCTGGATCTGGGTGTTCTTTGTGTCCGTTTCATGTATGTTTGTAAAGTCCCCCAATTTGGACCATGCCGTCGTCACAAAAGGGCTACGTGCATCACTAAGCAAGCGTAGAATCATTATAATAATTTGTTTCATATTTTCTGAGTTAAATTAGTAATAATTATGAAATTGTTTCTCAGGTTAGTTCTAATTATTGTTTTGGTGTAAATATTTTATACTAACAAACTCAACCCAACGCCAGGTTGTACCCGTGTCGGTGGTCTGTTGGATTAGGAAGTTCCCCCAACTAAACTATTTAATATTTCAGTGAGTAGAAATTCCAATGTGACTCCCAAGTTACTTAATTAAATTATCATTACATAACATAAATCACTTTCTTTCACGTTATACTCGTCTCGGAGTTTCAAGATCTAGGTATATACATATATTAATATTTTGTTGATGTATAAATTTTGCAAAAGGAGGAATGTGAGATTTGGAATACTTAAAGATTGTATTTAGAAGAAGTGCAAAAAACAAACAAAAATGTTTACTACTAATTTTCAATATGCATAACAAAATATAAAGTACTTGAAACTAAGTAGGTATATTATACAGCGAGAGTTACACGCGTCCAGTGAATGTACGTACATCTATGGTTAATGTTATGGCATGCAGTAAGGCCCCCATTTTTTTCCTCACACAGATACCTCAATTTTGCATTCAACGTATCGACTTCGACGAAGAAGATTGGGGACTATTGTAAATCTATTGCCGGGTTTCGACGATAAAGGGTAATGAGCGGGAAACGGTTAGACGGGAAGGAATTCTTTTTAATGAAATAGGTTAAAATTGCCACACAAAGAGTTTTGTCTTGCCTTGCCCTAACGGACTCGTTTTAACCACTTTTCACTCTTTCAAAACACGCCGCTCACACCTTTGTGTAGAAACGATGTAATTTGTCATTGTGAGTTAAACAGACTTCGTAATTACTGCGCTCCGCTGCCTAGAACTGAGCGAGTTCATTTCTACTCTTTCTGCTCCTTTAGTCCTTTCCGCCCGACGGTTTGTTGGTGGGGATACAAGTATGCAGTTACTATTGCGAATTCAGCGGAGTCCTTAATGGGTCCGTTCCGCTTGCGGTGGAAACCTTGCTTAAACAAGTTAGACTAGTTAGACTGACCAATTAAACAACCCAAAAAAATTGAAACTTATTAAATTACTGTTCAAATTCGATCTTTTATAAGAAAAAAAAAGCTAAATTAGTGCAGTAATTTTTTGCCTTTGTTTGTCGAGCAATTTTCTTGTTTCGTTGAGTTTCTATTAAAAAACTATTTTTCCTCACTTTTGATACAGCTTTATTGTTACCAATAATATTATAAGAACGCAAGGGATCCAGCATACAGTACAGAATCAAATTCTTAGTTAATAGTTGTAACTGTTTCCAGCAAATACCATCTTCAACACTTCGAGTCTACTATCATCACTGGCTCTGGTGCACATGGGTCGATTTTGGCCTTTGTTCATGAAGAGAATAGAGGAAATGGAGAAAAAACTTCCTCCGTTTAGGAAGAGTTTACACAATACGACCGCTAACATTACGATATTCATACTGATAGTGGCTGCAGGTATGGCAAATTCTAATTTTTCTTTAAAAGTTTTGCAGAACTTCGGTTACTAAGTTATTGTTTTGTTTTATAAGGAAATTGGCTTATTTTGTTTTTATTGGTTGCTTATGGAGGTTATGAAACTGATGTAGCCAGTATTTTTGAATTTCAGTGGAACATACTTTGTCAGTATGTTACGGGTGTACAGTCGCTTACACGTGTGATTCAACGAATATTGCTGAAACTTATTTTAAGTACAGCTTACCCTGGATCTTCGAGTACACAACATATTCTACATGGAAGGGAGTAATATCTGAGGTAAAATCATTTATTGATCAGAGGGCCTAGTGTGAGTTTATTTCACATTAACTAGCTTTCGCCAAGGCGTTCGGCCTTGTGACTGGTGAGGATTTCAGTGCGGACTACTCGCAACGATGAACGCGGTCACCGTGACGATTCGTTTAGATGTGAAATACACCCAAATTAAGCCCTAATGTCCTAATATAGTTTCAAAAGTAAAAAAACACACATAATCAAAGAAAAACTCTTCAACTTACATATATAATTATGTATGTAGGGAATACCAATTTGACTTGCTTGTTAGTCTAATGGTTGGTGACCTTGACTGCTGGCCTTTCGGCGGTGGGTTCGATTCGAGGAAAAGTAGTTGTGTTATGAATCACTCCTACAATAATTTCTTGTGTGCCTGGGTGTAATTTATCTATTACTAGTATGTCGGTTATCGCGGTAAAAGATAGCCTATGTTACTCGCTGATGATGTAGCTTTCCATCGGTGAAATAATTTTTACAATCGGGTTGGTAGTTTAGGAGTGAAAGCATAATAAACAAACAAACTCACTTTCACATTAACAATGTAAAGTGTGGAAGTATAGATACGTATATATTTAGAAATATATAAGTATGTTTATCAACAGTCTGGTTACCACACAGGCACTGTTGAGTTCGGAATCAGGCTGCCGTGTGTAACACGTGCCAAGTTATTATTACCAGTAGCCATTGAATAATATACCTACTTCTTATTAAATTTCAGATTTTTATTATACAGTCTACATTTATATGGAGCTATAACGATTTAGTTATGATGTTAATAGGTATATATTTAGCAGAACATTTTATTATTCATAATGAACTGTTGAAAAACGCCGTACAAAAGGTAAGTCTTTTTCGTTTACCCAAGAATAAAAATAAAGAGACAAACAAATTTTTTCCCTTTCGTTTTTCCGATAATGTTCCTTTTCTGTAATTAAGTTGAGCAAGTAATTTACCAAAGCTCCCGAGTTAATTTGAAGGACATAACTAATTGAGCGTCTGAGGCTATAGGTTTCTTTACATGCGAATAATGGGTGAAATACTGCAAGTACTAACACACCAGTGACTCCATCGTCAGTCAAGGTAATGTAGAAAGACATTCAAGGTCAGATGTACCGTCGTTAAGACCGTGACAGAAGAAAATATACAACATTTTCTCGGATGCTATTACTATAAAACGCTTTATTGGCTTGATTTGTATGTATCTATGTATGTATGAAATTGAATGTTCGAAAGTGATTTTGACCCACTTCTAATCGTCGAATTAAAATGAAACTTTGCAGATTTATCGAGGACCGGTGATAATGCAATAATTTAAATAGTTTTTCCCATTATCCTGATCAGTATCTTTAGGATCAATGGATTTTTCCGTACCTAAAAATATAGTAGTGTCTTTTGCCACGTACTAAGACGTGAGCTGAAGCATATGTGATAAACTTATTTCTTACTTTTTTAGTCTTAATAAGATAATAGACATCATTAATGAGTAAAAGAGGAAAAATGAATTAGTTTAAAAAAACTAAAAAACACGCTTTTGTAGCCAGTCGATATTTACGACAGATAATTTTCTATAAGTTCAAAGAGAAAAATCATTTTAATGAATTATTTATTTTTAGTAAGATATGCATTGTATGAAATTCTTGTTACTTGTCTTTCTTTCCGTTTAAATCAGAATTGTAATCTCGACGCCCTCTTAACCATATTTATATTGCTTGTTATGAATATCGCATGCTTAGGTTAACAATTGTATACAGATAAGTTTTAAATTTCGCCTACTATACGAGTAAAGATTCTATTTTAAGACGTACATCTCAAAACAAAGCTTCTTCTTTAACTAGTTTAAGTGCACACAGAAGCATTCATTTACGATGTTCGTATTAAATCCTTTTCTATAATTTAGATTCTTTTTACTTAATAAAAAAAAATATATACTCCAGAATTTGGTTTCATTATGGCAGAAAGCCAAAGTAAGTAAGTCTACTGCCTTCTTTTGTCACCGTTAAGAATGTAATTACTGTCTTCAATGTTTGCAAGTGTTTTAGATTACATCTGTTTGCCCCAAGGTTACCATTCTCAGAAACTAGGTCAAGTAGAAGCTTTAATCAGATAATTATTTAATTCTGTATTTTAATTTAAAAGGAGAATTCTTATCTTTAGTAGTACTTTATATCTATATAAGTATGACAAAAAATATACTAGTTAGCTATCTTGAAAAGAGCAAGACTTAAAATGCTAGTTAATGGATAAATTTGTTTATCTGTAGTAACGAGAACTAAGGGTAGATAGGTTATTGAAACGGCCGTTTTTCACTAATTCTTAAAATAAGGCGGCATTTCAACGAGCACTTCAGTTGAGGCTCCAAGTTGCTACAAATGTACAAGGATGTGATGTTCTGTACGGGGTTTTGTCTTGTCAATGACTCTCGCCTGTGTATCGGTGTGTGTTGAAGCTTTGATCTCCAAGATAGAACGCACCTCTGATCCGCATGATAATGACGGCCAGAGCCATAGTTGGCGTGAACTCCATCGTCGGATTTAGAAAAGGAAATGCTGACCTAAAATTATGCGAGATGCAAATGTCAGAGTAGAAAATATGTCTGAATTAATAAAAGATATACATTATTGATATAAACTAAAACTTTTTTTTGTAGGATGGCTTTGTTTGTTCTGAATTCCGTACTCAATATCTTAAGATTGTACATATAGTGAAACTGGTCAATGATCAATTTGGAATCTATTTAGTGACTTCGATCTCCGGCAGTTTGTACTGGATTTGTACTCAGCTGTTTTATGTTTTAAAGTAAGTTTGATTTTAAAAAGTATAACTTCCTTTAGACTGTCATAGCATTGGAAGCTGCTACTTTTTTATGATTCCTTACTTTTTTGAAGAGTTAAGGTTAAAAAATTCGTGTCATCTTTGGCAATTTTTAAAAGGTATGAGGAACTACACAGTACTTAAATATTTCATTTTTTTTGCAGTAAGGGTCAAACGGGGCATTACGTTATTAATTGCAAACTGAAGGACTACGTGGATTCTAAGTGAGTATAAACTTATTCCGTCCGTGTGGTGTCGGATTAAGAATACAGAGTGACACCACCCCTATTCATCTCGTGGATGTCGTAAGAGCCGAATAAGTGAGAAAACTATGCAGAACAGCAGCAGTGCAGAGAGAAGGAAAACTTGACACAAACCCTGTACCAATCCGTCTGGCCAGCGTGGTATAGAAGGCCAAAACCTCCTTTCTAAGGAGAGGCTTATGTCCAGCAGTGTACTATTAAAGTCTTTTGATGTGATAAACTTATAGTTGTTTTTAGAAAAATAAAACTTTAAAAAGATTTACTTTTAGAGGTTTGAATTCCAATCTGTATTTGGATAGGATACGTGCCTCGGAGAGCACGTTACCATACAAATATCTGTGGCAAATATCGTTACGGATAGTTGGAGTCCTAAAAATTTCACAAAAGTTCTGTAGAAAGACTACTTTCTACAGAACTTCGATATCACCTTATACTTGGGTTGTGAAGATCTCATGGCAGTCGCTCCGTATTAAAAAACGAAGTTCAGCCGTATCGTAGTAAACTTGAAGGCGACCCCAACATAGTTTCGGGAAAAGGCTTGGAGGAAGGGAAAGAGTTTGGACAGGATACAAATGCTTCTCTGAAAGCGCATACAAGGACTAACTTGCGAATCTATATATATAAAAGAAAGTCGTGTTAGTTACACTATTTATAACTCAAGAACGGCTTTACCGATATGGCTGAAAATTGGTGAGGAGGTAGCTTAGAGCCAGGAGACGGACATAGGATACCATTTATTCCGAAAAAAAAAAAAGTTTGCACGAATTTTGCTTTACTCGGAGACGCCACGTTATTATACTTGGAATGCTTCATCAAAGAATTTTCAAAGACGGAAGATTTTTTCTAAGAAAAAAATTAACTTACTAAATTCGAAAATCGGCTTATTAATTGCCTTTAAGGCGGAACAGAGTTCGCCGGGTCAGCTAGTATGATATATATGTTATTGACTACTGTTTTTATTTATTACTAGCTGAGACCCGCGGTGTTACCCGCGTTTGTTGTTATAACCGCGGGGCGAAGCTAGTCTAAAAAAAGTAGCCTAAGTTACTGCTTATGTCATCAGCTATCTGCCAGTGAAAGTCCCGTCGAAATCGGTCAAGCCGTTCCAGAGATTACCCGGAACAAACAGACAGACAGACAGACAGACAAAAATTGTAAAAAATGTTATTTTGGCATATGTATCGTGTAAACATACATATGCATTTAGTAAAAAGCGGTTATTTTAATATTACAAACCGACACTCCAATTTTATTTATTTGTATAGATTGCGTTTTATTGCATTAAGTTACGCACATGTTGTATAAAGTCGGACTTAATGCCATTAGGCATTCTCTCCCAGTCGACAGTCAGGTGACGTAGAAATATAATGAGGTAGGTGCAAAGATAAAATATAAAATTTTTCGTAGTTCATAGTTTGGTAAATGAAAGATAAGCCAACATTAGATATAACAAAGATACATAAATTAATTAACACATATATTATTATATCTTCATATAAGTCCAGTACACAATACATACACACAATATAAACATACACATACATAAATTTAATGTTATATATAAATACACAGTCGGGGACTAGCGTTGTGGCCTCCGTGGTTGTGATTGTTCTGCCAATTCATTCCGAAGAAGTTCACGTACTTTTGACTTGAATGTAAGGCGGTTT